CACTTGGTTGCTGTATTTTCAGATTTTTTCTTTCTCCATTTTCCACTTCTTGGTCATTTCCTGCAGATAAAGGGAAGTCCCCAGGCTAAGTCAGATGAAGACTCTTGTCCTTTTTTAATAGGGTGTCCAAGACGACACACCCGAAGAATACACACGCACCAACACCCCACACACATACACACACACATACACACACGTCCCTCTTCTACTGCACATGTGTTCATGCACACACAAACACGTTCCCCACACACTCACACCTCCCACACACACACCCAGAAACACACACAGAAACAAACACACCTGCTCCCACCCCAACCAAAACCAAAAGGCATGGAAGGCTCACAGCCTTGAGCCTTGGAAATTGAAACTTGTTCCTCCACTTAGGCTTTTTCCAACAGGCAGCCTCTCCCCTCTGCCCACAGAGGAGGCCAGTGGAGCTGCCAAGTCAGCTCAAAGGTGAGCCTGGTAAAAAGCCCTCCTCTCCTGCTCAACGAGTCATGCCCCACGTAGACACGGTGCCAGGGCTGTGTGGAGGAGCAAACGTTTCTCTGATCTCTCCAGGGATTTTTAATCTAAGGCAAGAGATAAAGCATGTGCATGAAACTTCACAAAGTTTCCATGGGAAAATGCATTGTGGGAGATAAGCACAGTCTTGCCAGGGCTCTGAACGCTGAGAGGAGGCACAGAAACCTCCTGGCTGGGGGAAGCGTGCTGTGTGTGGTTCTGGCCAGGCTCCTGAGGAACAGGTAAGAACGTGACAAGCAGAGATGGCACAGGGACAAGCAGTGGTGGGTGGTGGGGAGAGGGGCAGTCCAGGCAAAAGGAAGGACTGCAGAAATGAAACAATTAGGGTGTCCAGGAAAAGCTGAGCAGGCACATTTGACTGGGGGTCGGGGTCTTCAGCGCTGGCTGTGCAGGACTTTGATCACCAGATGAGGATTCTGACACTAGGCGAGGAGGGTGGAGCCTTCAATGGCGTTACATACCAGAGAGCAGCATGATCAAACTTTGCCTGTAGAAGAGTGACTCAGCATCATGTGCAGAATGGATGAGAGAGAAGCAGCTGAAAGACATCGAGGTCATTCAGCAAGCTCAGATGGCAGGTAATAAAACGGCCCAAGCTGAAATGATGGCCATGGAGGGGAGCGGAGAAGAGCAGAGACTGCATGAGTGGAGAACAGCCTGTCCTGTTCCACAGTGGGTCAGGGGTGGCATTGTCAAAGACTTCAGAAAGTGCCCCCGGGGCCTGGAATGAGGGGGGGTCAGAAGAAGGCATGAGTTTGTTTACGATGATTCATATTCTTTTGAACATGCAGTTTGATATGCAAATGGTGTATGAGCAGAACTACCTAACTGGCATTGAATGTGCAGATTTTAAACTCAGAAGAAAGATCAGAGGTGGAGGAAGAGGTTAGGGGTTAGAAACATGTGGATGAGATTACAGAGGGTGAGGAGGTAGAGAGAAAAGGGATTGGGAGAGTTAGGAAGGAAGGAAGGAAGGAAGGGAGGGAGGGAGGGAGGGAGGGAGAGAGGGAAGGGAGGGAGGGAGAGAGGAAAGGGAGGGAGAGAGGGAAGGGAGGGAGCAGGGGAAGGAAGGGAGGGAGAGAGGAAGAAAGGAGAAAAGAACACTAAGATTCACTGAACCAGGCCCTAGGGTTGCACATTATCCCATTTCACCCTGTCAACAAGGCCATGAGGAAAGTATCATCATCATCATCATTATTATTATTCCCCTCTCTTACAGGTAAGGATAATAAGGTGTATGGAGGTTAAGTAACTTGCCCGACATAATGGAACTAGGCAGTGATCGAGCCAGACTGTAAAACCAGCTATATCTGATTGTAAAACCAGGTTTATGCTCTTTCCATAAGACCAGGGGTAGGCAACTACAAGCTATGGGCCAAGTCTGACCCACCTCCTCTTCTTGTAGATAGTGTTTTATTGGAACACAGCCTGACTCATTCACTCGCATATTATCTATGACTGTTTCATACTAGAGTGGCAGGTAACACAGACCATGTGGCCTGCAGATCCTATGATATTCACTACCTGGCTCTTTACAGAAAACATTTGACATAGCCCCGGCCTAGCCATGTATGTTTCCTATAGGAGCCTGGTCAGAACCTTGAGCCATGCCTGCATGTAGGGAACAGGAAAAGGAAGGCAGATGGAAGAGCCCAAATGGAAGTTCCCAGTAACAATAAGGAAGAGACGTTATGACAGTGGCAAAAAAGACAAAGAAGGACATATTATCAAGAGTGAGGGGAACTGACCATCAAACGCTTCAAAGCCACCAAAAAAAAGGCTGAAGCCTAAGGAAAGGCAGCTAGGCAGACCTGGCAATGTGCCTTTCTCAGTAAATGGTGGGGATAGAAATCAGATGATGCTACTTATCGGGTGGTTGAAGATGGGTGAGGAGTGAGTGCAGATTCATCTTCAAAGTATTTGGTGAAGAGATTAAGAGGGTAGAGCAGTCACCTCCTGGCATAACCGTGCTAAGGTGGGAATTTTTAGGGAAAGGATATAGAACATTGAGCAAGACAGTAAGTGGAGGAGAGGAAGACAGCAGAGAGGAAAAGAGGATGCTGAAGTGATAGATGAAGATGAACCTGTGATCACATCCAAGGCGGAGGTTGAGGCAGAATCCAGAGAACAGAGAGAGGTAGACATCAACTTTGCCTGCAAGGAAGGGCAAGGAGAGGAAACTAAGATTTGATGAGAATCTTGATATGTATTAAGCCAATCACTTATTTTCATGATCTCATTCATTGCTTACAACTCTATGAGTGAGGGATTCAAATTTCCATTTTGCAGGCAAAGGAAGCTGAGTCTCGTGTGGTTTCAGGGCTAGCCCAAGGTACCAGTGCCATGGAGAGGCCTCTCTAGGATTCAAACCTACGTCTGGCAACTCCAAAGACTATGCTGGTTTCACACACACACACAGGCTTGAAATTGATGGATTTGGGTTGGGGGCTGATCCATTTTATCTTCCTTTGTTCAACACAGGTCCCATCTGATGGAGGAGAATCAATTCAAGGAGATGCCCTCCCTTTACAGCACACCCTTTAACAGCATCCAGGAGGAACGAGAGGCTGCAATGCTGAGGCTTTCAAAGTATTTACCAGGATGCCCGAGAACGGCCGTGATGCCAGGCTTCTGGCAGGTTCCAGGCTCCATCACAAGCCCAGCATCTCTGCACCAGATCTGACATGGCTGCTGCTGTCCCAGCTCTTTATGAAGGGCCTGAGTAGCTATCAAGTTTTTATGGCAGGAGCCCTGCCGGGGGCTTAGACACCAAAAGAGAAGTCTCATCCTTTGCAGTTCTTGTGAAGAAGAACTTTCTTCCCTTTAGAAAAACAATGAGAACCAAGCCCAAGCACCAAAGTCCAAATGGGATCTCCTGCGAGCACATGTCAAGCAGGATTGTTGCTATTTCTCCTCATTGGCTCTTTGGACAGACTGTGTGAGCTCCTGGAGGGTTCCACTGTATCTACCCTTTGATACTGACCAGTTGGCACATGCTGACATATTCCAATGTGTTGATTGCAAACGTGAACGTGCAGTCAGTGCTGTGGGCGGGAGGATTCTCTCCTCCTCAGTGGGGCCACACTTTGCACTATTAGTGCAGCTCCACTTGTTTGCACAGCCTGGCCATGCAATGGCTCATATTGAGCTTTTAGCCAACTGAAACTCCTTGTGTGTTTTTCTGACAAGCCAGCTAGGCCTCTGCTATGCTGTCCTTGTGTCTTTCATTTGAGACCTGAAGGGCAGGACTGTTCTTATCTTAAGTTACAGCTGGTCGAGTCCAGCCCAAGGACAGCAACTCTGAGAGTCAGGCCTCATAGGCTAACCACATAGACGTGCTCTGCTTCGTGACCCACCAGAGCCCGACCTGCCCCACTAATTTATATTTCCCCTGGTCTAATTTTGTACTTTTTATTTATATTTCGCCCTTAAAGTGTATGTGTCTCTTATAAGCTGCCTCCGATCTTTCATGGTACGAGGTGGTTACCTAAATAAAGAAGGAGATTTGGCCTTTGTTTTCATGTAGCAGGACATATTTGCGACTCTTCGTGATCTCATAACTGTTCTCCTAGTTTTAGGATATCCTCTTCCCATTTGTTTACTGCCTTGGTGCAAGTCTTGTAATCCTGCACTCAGTACAGTGCCTCCAGGGAAGGAACACGTAGAACACAGTGTGATGAAGACAGAGCAAGGCTGGGCGCGGTGGCTCACGCTTGTAATCCCAGCACTTTGGGAGGCCGAGGTGGGTGGATCACGAGGTCAAGAGATGGAGATGGTCCTGACCGACATGATGAAACCCCGTCTCTACTAAAAATACAAAAATTAGCTGGGCGTGGTGGTGCACGCCTGTAGTCCCAGCTACTTGGGAGGCTGAGGCAGGAGAATCGCTTGAACCCGGGAGGCCGAGGTTGCAGTGAGCCGAGATCGTGCCACTGCACTCCAGCCTGGTGACAGAGTGAGACTCTGCCTCAAAAAAAAAAAAGACAGAGCACAGGTTATCCTGACACCATGAAATCTTCTGGCATCTCTGTGCTCTGCCACCAGCCTAGTATCTCTGAATTGGGCTGGACTCAGAAACCCAAAGAGCTATCACAAAAGAACATTTGGAATTAAGAAGAAAGATTTCCTTCCTACTCAGAATCTCCCCCAACCACCTTCACTTGTAATCCTCTCCATCTTCCCAGTTCGAAGTTTCTTGCTGTGTCTGAGCTGACTGTACACCGTGAGGTGCCAGAGCCTCTTACTTGGGGTTCTGAAGTTCACAGGGAAGGAAAAGTCACATATAATCAAAATCACTCTGAAAAATTCCTTGGGAAGACATTCTGTTGGAGGCCACATGACTTCTCTTAATGAGACCAGCATAGTTGTTTTGTTTTGTTTTAATTCTAGAAGTGGAACCGTTTTCTGCTTTCTTTGGGTACCAAGTGCAATCATTGGCTTTCACTTAGTAGAAGCCACATTGTTTAAAATACGCAAATCTTAAAAAACCAGGATCACACTTAGGCCACAGTGCATGTTTACATCTAAGAGAGACTGAAGGAGCTGAGAGTGGCTGAGCAGCAGATTCCGACCTTACACGTCACACTCACTCTAGGGAATTTCCCGCACTGTTTACGTCATCCTCTCTCCACACTTGGGCTGTCAGTCTGCAAGTTAAATGCATATATGATGGTTCTCCATATAAAGCCTTTATTCGACCCAATTAGAGGCCATGCTGTTTGGCAGGATGACAATAGAATAAATCTGTGATCATGGGAGCAAGAGGTGAATTAAACGCAGTCCCCACAGATTACTTACTAGTCATTAGATTAGCCTGCAGGAAGAAAAGGGAGGCCCACAGAGGAGGATTTCCTGGAATTTATCGTTGACCACCCAGCAACCACATTTAAGAAGTGAAACTGACAGGGTCACATAGACAGTGCATGTGGAAACTGCAGGGCAATCCCTCCAGGGCAAGGCTTGCTCCGTACCTAAGCATCTATGAGGACACCACTCAGAGACTCCTTACAGTATAGAATTAGAGGACACGAGCCCTGAAACCATCTTTTTTTGTTTTTGTGTTTTTGAGAAGGAGTTTCATTCTTTCACCCAGGCTGGAGGCCAGTGGCACAATCCTGGCTCACTGCAACCTCCGCCTTCTGGTTTCAAATGATTCTCCTGCCTCAGTTTCCTGAGTAGCTGGGATTACAGGCGCCCGCCACCACGCCCGGCTTATTTTTGTATTTTTAGTAGAGACAGGGTTTCACCATGTTGACCAGACTGGTCTCGAACTCCTGACCTCGTGATCCGCCCACCTCGGCCTCCCAAAGTGCTGGGATTACATCTTAAAAACCACAGAGCCATGCTCCTCCAACTGTATGCAAATCACTTGAGGATCTTGATAAATGCACATTCACTGTGGCTCAAGCTTGTCATCCCAGCACTTTGGGAGGCCAATGTGGGTGGATCACTTGAGTCCAGGAGTTTGAAACCAGCATGGGCAACATGATGAAACTCATGGTGGCACATGCCTGTAATCCCAGCTACTTGGGAGGCTGAGGCAGAAGGATCACTGGAGCCTGGGGTAGTTGAGGCTGCGGTGAGCCATGATTGCGCCACTGCACTCCACCCAGGTGACAGAGTGAGATCCTGTCTCACAAAAAAAAAAAAAAAAAAAAAATTACAGATTCAGATTCAGTAGGTCTGGGGAGGGGCCTGAGACTCCACATTTCTAACAAGCTCCCAGGCCGTGCTGCTGCTACTGGTTCCCGAGACACTTTGAAGAGAGAGGCTCTCAAGCAACCCCATCATTTCAGGGGTAGGGAAACTGAAACCACAGGTAAAGCAGCTTCACCAAGTTCAAGCAACTGAAAAGTGACAGATCCAGGTCTGCAGCCCAGGTCTCCAGGCTGCCAGTCAAGGCCTCTTTCCTCTCCATAAATGGCTGACCCGCTTCTCCCAAGCACTGCTGAGCCTCAGGCAGAACAAGCAAGCGAGCAGCTCAGCAGCTGTGGAACTGAGGCACACTCATACTGCAGGTGAGCCGTGCACCTTCCCTCCTCGGGCCTCACCCCGACTGTGCCGAATGAGCAGACCTCCACGCTGCTCTGTGTCACTTGAGATGCCACAGCACTGAGCCCATGGGTGCCCCTCAAGCAGAGCAGGGAGGGAGGAGGAAATAGGTGGGCACACAATGCCACCAGGCAGGGCCACATTGAGCCGGACTATGTCTGATCTGGACTCGTTCTCCCAGAAAGCTCTCCACCAAAGGGGCTGGGCATGGGGAGCCTCCTACTGTTCCCCAGGCCCACCTCATGGCCCCTCCTCCTGTTCATTCCCTCTGGAGGCAATTGGGCCTTTTCAGTGACCTGAACTCTGTCCATCCTGCCACTTACAGGCTGAGTGACTATAGGTAGCCCTCTCGTATTAGGAGGTAATAATAATCTTAGGTAATAATACATCTTAGGCCATCTCCTCCTGATTCTAGGGCTATAAACCTGTTATTTTCAAAGCTATCTAAAGTAAGGTCTGCCATAATGATCAAGTCCGCATTTCTCACAACCTCATCGCCATGGCTTATTGCAGGACCACAGGACCCACGAAACCAGGGGAAGGTGGTCACAATAGGTGGAAGGGCAGCCCACCCCCCAGTCAGTAGCCTCGAAGCCCCTCAGACTGAAATTACTCATCTCTCAGTGAAATTACAGTACGGTGGAGGAAGGGGAGCTTATCCTGGCTGGATCACAAGCTGACCATCACCGTTGAGGCAGGCTCAGAAATGTATTTGCATAAAGGATCGAAGAACCTCCTGGGTAAAAACAAACCCTAAGGGTACAGGGAGTCTGGCCTAGTAGCAGAAACCTGGCACAGGTATGTTCAGCTTCCTTTACCTTCCAGCTATGTTTGTTCTCAGGGAAAAAGGGCTGCAAGAAGGAATAGACTGAACTGGGGTGGGGGAAATATACTCTATACGATACTGGGATATCATCTCAGCACTTGAAGGCATCCAACATACACTTGTGTTTGTTCCTGGTAGACACAGGAATAATCTGGCAGAAATAAAACAATAGGCGCCAACTAATAGCTGACTGAACTTGCTTAAGAGCTGAATCAGTTCTTCCAAGACTCCCAGAAGTTACTTGGTAGGGCAGGCACACAAGGGGAATAGGTGCCAGCCAGGAAAGCAAGGATGACGAAAAAACCCACCCCTTATCAGGGGTATTGGGAAGAAAGGCTCAGAAACCAGAAGCTGAATATGAACCTGGGAATGCCCAAAGCTTTGCTGTGTGAGCCAGCGCTATGCACAGATCCAAGGACTAAACAAAGGGAATGGCCAGGAGCAGGTGCCTCTGATTTTACAGCAGCCACATGGTCGCAGGCTTCCATGCATTCCTTTATTCAACAAATGGTCACCTCAGACCTCATTCCAGCCTGGGTCCCAAAGACTGACTCAACCGGAACGTGGAAGGTTCCTTAGCATTTGACGATGGTAACTTTTAGAAAAGGAAGAGAAGTAAGGTACAGATTCCCACCGGGGCCACCCTGCCATCAGACATCTCTGCCATACCCCTTACTGCACTGGTCTGTGTGTACCCAAATCCCCCAAGCCATTATTTGCATGCCATTTCTACACACTATTTGATAAGTTAACACCTTAAATGCCAAATTTGGCCCAGCTCTGCTTTCCAAGTTTAGGCACCCAGTTTACTATTATCTCTTTCTTTCCTTTCCGTTCTTGTTTCTCTTTCTTCAAACTGGCTGCTCCTGTACCAGCCCCAGCCCTCGAGAACAACTCCTACCAATTTCACCTACTTCACTTTCGGCCAAAGCCACAGGCTTATCCCACGGTGAAAAGGACAGAGACCCTCCACCAAAGCTTTTTTTGTGTGTTGGGCATATACCCAACATGCACAGCGTCAGGTTGGATGTCCTCTCACCCCTGACTCCATCTTTCTGACTAATCCCCTCCACCCTGCATCAATCTGGGACTCTGTGGCCCTCCTTTCCCAAGTTCACATCTACCTCCCTAGCTACAGCTATTCAGAATCTGAACTCTGACCCCTGCCCAGAACCTCTCACTCTAAAGAAGAGTCCAAGGCTACAACCTAATGCTAGGCCTCTGTAGCTCCCTGCAAACAACAGAGCAGTGATTCTCAAAGTGCTGTCCCTGGACCAGCAGCCTCAGCCTCCCTTAGGAGCTTGTTAGAAATGCAAAGACTTTAGCACTCCGTAGGGTAACCAACTCATCCCAGTCTTCCCAGGGCTTTCTTGGTGTCAGTACTGAAAATTCCACATCCTGAGAACCCTGATCAGTCCTGGGCAAACCAGGCTGGCAGGTCATCCTAACTTTATCCTGGACCTACTAAAGGAGCAGCTCTGGGGGTGGGGGTCAGCCATGGGTATTCAACAAGCCCTCCAGGGGATTCTGATGCCCGCTCAAGTCTTAGAACTTCACCTTACAGGGTTTTTGATGCTGAACTTGTGCCTGCCTGAGGGCTGCCCTCTGGGTAAACCCCTCTTGTCCATCTTCTCTTTGGGCACAGGAA